AAGAGCATCGGCCTGTGGACTGAAAGGTCCCAGGTTTGATTCCGGTCAAGTGCATGTACCTTGACTGTGGGCACATTCCCAGTAGGAGGTGTGCAGGAAGCAGCTGATCGATGCATCTCTCTCATCGATGTTTCTAACTCTCTATCCCTCTCTCTTCCTCTCTGTAAAAAATCAATAAAATATATTAAAAAATAAAATAAAACTCAGTGTCTTTGAAAGACGCCCTGCACCCTCAGATGGCTTAAATGTAATGAATGACTTGGTACTGCATGTCAGGTTCATAGAGGTGCAATTTGCAGGTGTCACTGGGAAACAAAATTAAAACATTCTGTGAATATTTAAGTATCAGAAATGATAAGTCTAGTTGTCTTGCTCTCATACTCTACATATAATGTAGGCAGGCTTTAGCAAAAAGCCCATGTCTAGAATGGGTGATTTTAATGCAGGCTGTAGCCCAACATTTAAACTAAAATGATGATGGTGATATTCTATGATATACTCTGGCAACCTCAGCTGCCTTTGGCTTAAGCTGAAACAGACACAGCAGGGATTTTCTGAGGAAATCACTGGCTCCATCATTATTCCCTTTTCTCACCTCATCCTGGGTCCTTTATTTTGATAAGAAGACCTTTACTCTGCCTATGCCTGACTGGATGTCTTGCAGCTGCTCAGACATGCCAAGCATACTTCTCACTCAGAACCTTTGCACTAACTGTTCCCTTTGCATGCAACACTTTTCTCTCATATCTTAGTTTCCTTCCCTGTGTCACGCTGGTTTTAGCCCAGACATTACCATATCAGAGAGGTTGTCTGTGACTAACCGTTCTAAATATTAACCTCACACTGCCCGTCTTGTTCTCTATCACCTTACTCTGCCTTACTTTTCCCCATAGTGTTTATCACCACCTCACAGGTATTTATTTGTCTGTGATCCTTCTCCCACCACCAGAATATTTAACTCCATGAGAATGGCTGTCGAGTTTTATTCATGGCTATTTCCCCAGATCTGTCACCTTGCATGCAATCAATACATTTTGAGTAAATAAATGAGTCAATATGAACTGAAGAACATGGAGTCCCTCCAATCTAGCACATATTCTAAATTTACTCTTATATTACAAGGGAGGTTGGGCAGGTGGGCCACACTGTTTTGTAGCTGAACTGTGCCTCAGCATGATGCTCTTGTCCTCCACTGAGGAAGAGCATGTGAAATTGCTCAGTTATATCCATCAGGTCGGGGATGGAATTGAGGCCAGCACCTCCTAAAGCATTCCGTGGCTTCTTTATGACATCCCGAGGGAGAAATTTCTCTCATGTTTCAGTATTAGGAAAGGCTAGGCTGTTGAATTGCAAGATTTTTGTTTTCTTTTTAATCTGATGCATGATAAATCTTGCAAATACTAGAAAGGTTAAATCTCTCCCATCCCCTGCCCCCCACCTTTGACCAACAACCATTCTAGACTCTGCAATCTGCTTTTCTGTGTGTGCTGCTTTTACTCCTGGCTTTATTATCATTTTCCTTAAGAATTTATTTTATCCAATGTATGTCCTATATTTTTGAAAACTGCTTCAGTTTCTTTGTGGAATAATAAGGTGTAAATAAGTAAATGAATAAGGCATTTCATTAATAGTTCCCATTCATATTTTTTCCCACAACTCACCAGGACAGCTAATAAACATTAAATTTCTCTTCTTAATGAAAATGGTCCGTAAGATAAATGACAATATCGCTTACATAATACTAGTAATTACCCAGTATTTTGTTTGAGGGAAGCTCTTTACAGATATTTACACAGTTCCATCTTTCTGTAATGGCATCTTTTCTTTCTCTCCCCCTCAACTCTCCCTTTTTCAAGATCCAAGTCAACTTCCACTTCCTCCCTCAACATTCTTCCACCTTCCCATCTCATGGTGAGTTATATTGAGTTATATTTCTTTGGAGCTCTTATAACTTTTTAAGAAACACATATCAATTACTCATTTTATTTCTTAAATTAATACCTTGAACTATAATTTAAACAGTTTTTGAGGTTTATTTTCCTTGCAAAACTGCAAGTTTCTTTAAGAAAAGCAGTATTGTCAGACTGGTGTGGCTCAGTGGTTGAGGATCGATCTAGGAACCAAGAGGTCACGGTTTGATTCCCAGTCAGGGCACATGCCCAGGTTTTGGGCTCAGTCCCCTACTGGGGACATGCAGGAGTTGGCCAATCAATGATTCTCTTTCATCATTGATGTTTCTCTCTCCCCCTCTACCTTCCTCTCTGAAACCATAAAAATATATTTTAAAAAATAAAAGTAATAAAATCAATCATGTGATAAATATATTTTTGTGAACCACAATGGCAAGTCGATGTAAAGTTATTGCATGTCTCATAAGTTATGAAGAATTTTTACGAAAACCAAATTGTGACTATGGCCATGACCTTTTCTAACATGCAAAGGTCACATCTTTTGCCGTTCTTTCCTATTCTAGGTTCAAGTGAAAAATGCTGTGAGACCTAAGAATGTAATTGAAATAGTGGAAGGTTCTCTGTTCTGCTCCTTTGGGCAGTTGATTTTAACATCAAAGAGACAGAGCAGCCAATGAGTATAACTCCAGATTGACTCCCTCTCTTTCAACATCTTGTCTTCATGTTTTGAGTTCTTTAGTGATAAAAAGGTGCTTCGGATATACAAGCAAGGCACAGCGAAACTATTAGAAGAAAATCCACCCAGCTTCACATTCTTTGGCAGCAAGATCAATTCATTTTTGTGTGTCACGACCTTGTTTAACAGCATTCCGCAATTTCAAACATCCAGGTTATACGAAAGCAACATTCACAAACCTTCGTCAATCTAAGACACACTTGTGAAACTCTCCCCTCACAGGTTATCTCCCGGGCCACCTGTGCACGTGGATGGCCATGCTTACTCTGGGGTTGGGATGGGCTGGGTGGGGGCAGGGTAATGTTAGAAAACTCTTTCCTACACTGAGCTGAAATCCCCAGTCCTATAATTTGCTCTTATTGGGCCCAGGACAACAGAGAGCTTCTTGACCACAGCTTGTGAGCACAATTACTTTGTCACTTCTCTAATTATACATTCTGTTTTCTTTTTTTCAAAACAGGCAGAAACCTGGAGTAGCCTTAAATATTCAGTTTGCTTATCCATGATTTAATTTTTCTTAAATGTATTTTTATTGATTTTTAGAGAGGGGAAGAGAGAGGAATAGAGAGATAGAAACATCAATGAGAGAGAGAAACGTCAATTGGCTGCCTCCTGCATGCCCACACTGGGTATTGAGCCAATAACTCTGGCATATGCACTGATGGAGAATCAAACTCTGACCTCCTGGTTCATGGGCTGACACTCAACCATTGAGCCACACTGGCCAGATTTTAATTATCTCTTTTCTAAGCCAACCCCACTTCTTTCAACTTATTTCTCATTTACCCTGGTGAGAAATGCTTTCCTTCTGGTCATGTTGCTTTGTCTGGCCTCTGGATTATCTATTTTCTTCATGACAATATGGCTCCCTAACAGAATAGAAATACTTACTTTCCTGTCTTGAGTTTCCGTGTATCTATTCTATCACACCCTAAAATGAATAATGCTAGTTGTTCAGCTTCCACGTGATGCTCTGGCTCAGATTACAGATTCATTCCACTGAAATCCCTAAAAATGTGAAAGTTTGTTAATCCAGGTCTCACTCATTTTGCAGGCAACTTTTCATAACCTGCATGAACGAATTCATCTTTATC